TGGTCAGTGAAAACAGGAGAGATGGGGACTACTCGATATGCAGGGTTGGCTCAGCCAAGGAAAAGAGAAAGCTTTGTTCTGCAAAAGATGCAATGGCTAAGGACCAGTAGTCAGAACAGAGACTGAAGTATCAAAAAAGGGCTGAAAGGATTCATTTCTCGGGTCCAAAAATAAACTGTACAACTGATTGTTGTTAAATGTCATCGAGTCAGTTCTGACTCATAGAGACCCTGTTATTGCTGTTATTGTTGTTAAGTGCCGTCGAGTTGGTTCCAACCTATAGCAACCCTGTATAGGGTTTCCGAGGAGCAGCTGGTGAGCTTGAACCGCCTACCTTGCAGCTCAAACTGACTTAGTGACCCTCTAGGACACAGAAATTACCAGAAAGAGTCAGCTTTGGAGGCAGGAAAAGGAGGAGGAGGAGAAGGAGAAGGAACAGCAGCAGGAGAGGAAAAGCAGAATGTTTTGGTTATACAGAAATTGAGCTTCAGATAGTACAGAAAATATCATTGCCTAACGAGTACCTGGAAATATGGATCCTTATCAACAACAACAAAAACAAGAGAATTGGAGAGGTGGACCCATGAGGACAAAAGATATTATTTGTCCCCTCTTGGGGGTGGATAGGGGAGAGCTTAGAAGAAAGTGGTTGAAAGAGATGCATTAGTCAAGAGAGGAATTTAGAGAAATGTCTGAATGTCAGATGGAATGGAGTGGTTAAAGAGACTCCTTCATGTAGGAAGCTGTTAAGAAAAACCAGGTGTTCAGAGAATATGTGCCCAACCAAACTGACAGAGGAGTCCTGGTGTGGCGCAGTGGGTTAATATGTCAGACTGCAAAGCCCTCTGAACTGCAAGGTTGGTGGTTCAAGCTCACCAGCTGCTCTTCGGAAACCCTATACAGGGTTGCTGTGGGTCGGAACTGACTCAACGGCACTTAACAACAACAACAACAACAACAACAAACTGACAGAACAGTCCCATACGTTAACAGTTATGCCTGGTTTTAGACAGTAAATTGAAGGATGATGTAGGAAGAGCAGGCCTTCTGACATAATCCTACCATGCAAGCATTAAAGTATGACTCAGAGACACAACTCACAGAAAGTTGTTAATTGGCCCTTCCCATTTGCAAAACAGCCCAAACATGCCACCCACACCAAAACAATCCGACCTTTATTTTCTTTGTGTACCTTGCTTTTTAAAAAATGTATGGATTAAAAAAAACTTTAATGCTTTCAACATTAATTTCAAGCCACATATAACATAATAACCAATTTTGCTGTTTACAATTTTATTGGCCAATCCAACAAACTTTGCTTTGCTGAAATTTATGAAAAATTTCCCCATTCTTTTTATATGAAAGGCTTTAAAATAAAAATCCCTGTTGATATTGCCAACTTCTTATTGTTTGTCATTTAGGCACAGTCCAAAGATCTCCTAGTAGGTGACAGCCATGGGTTTTTTGGTTTGTTTTTAAGTATTCCATGATTGTTATCATTTCTGTCAAAGAGTTTATCAATAGCTGGTCAAATGTGACTTGTGATTTTTTTTGTTTTTTAATTACTAAAGAGTCTTTAAAAATTATCCTTATATTCTCTGACACAGCCTAAATTAGATGACACACTTTAGATGACTCTTACAAATGTACACATGTATAAAGCCGCATGTATATTTGTTGTTATTTAGTGCTTTCAAGCAGGTTCTAATTCATAGTGCCCCTGCATAGGGTTTCTGAGGAGTTGTTAGTATGTTTGAACTGCCAACCTTGGGGATAACAGCCCAGTGCTTATCCAACAGTGCCACACGAGGGTTTATTTAAATGCTATATATATATTTTTAGACCTAGGAAGATAAGATTTAAGGGAACCTCTCAAGGCTTAGTTCCTACTATGATGATTTAAAAGGAAAAAAGCAAAATACACTGCTTTAAAGCTAAAAAGAAATGGGGAAAAATTAAAATGTCAGAATTTCATTAAAATTATGATTACCAGGAAGAGAGAAGAAATAATAGCAGAATTAAGAAAAATGATGATATTTAATATGGTAGGGGGCAGGAAGAAACAGAAAAACTATATACTGGCTCACCAAAAAGTGAAAGTTATGATAATTGGGTAATGTAACATTTTAAAAACTCCTCTGACCCATTAAATAATCTGAAGTGCACACTGGGTCTCCTCGCCAATGCTTTTTGCATCATTCCTCCACAGTCCTCCCTGGATAAAGCCTCTTCATCTTCCAGGAAGCAGACTGGGTGGCCCCTGACCCTGTCAGGCTGGGTTCCACAGGCTCTCCAGGCCCTGTCACATCATAGCGTAGTACAAACATCACACTGTGCTATAGTAGCTGTCTGCTTATCTGCCTCCCTGCTAGACTGCAGCTAGCCCTAGAACACTGGATCCCAGCATTATTCATCTTTCTATCATGTTCTAAACACAATACCAGAAAATAAGGTAAGTTTTTTGTTGTATAGGGTTTCTAAGGAGCAGCTGGTGGGTTTGAACCACTGACCTTGTGGTTAGCAGTCCAGTCCAGTTCAGTTGTAGCATATAAATTAATTAGTTATGTTCTGAAACCAAACACTGTCCCATCCATATAAACTGAAATATGAGGCAATCCACCAAAAAGTAGCCACTCAACACCAATCATACTACAGGATAACTTTTAGAGAGTTGTCTGAGCCAATTGTTGAGCTAAGCTCAACAAGAAGCCTGAGAAGTATAATCACTTTTATTTGACTAGCATGTTCATGCTTTCCATGCAACACTGCTATTACCTGACTTTGAAAGGTAAAGAAACTCAAACAGGACGGTATAAGTTAATATGTAAAAGCTAATTTATAAGAGGTTCAAACCATAAAGGAATGGTGAATATGTAAAAGCTAATTTATAAGAGGTTCAAACCATAAAGGAATGGTGATCCTACAGAGACATGTCCGTTCAAGCAGACATGATTGACACGGTAGCACTAAGGAGATATCCAACAGGCTGGTGCGAACATTCACTCTTGGTTAGATCTGACAGTAGAGTGTGAATGACAGCCAGCAGAACAGTGGCCAGTGTCTTCCTGCTTCTCAGCTAGACCTTTTCCTGCTTCAGCAGACCTGCTTTCCCTTCTCTTGCTCAGTTCAGGTCCCCGTGTCAAACCCATCTTGACTATGGAACAATGGGCACTGATGACCGCAGGCAGGGCTGCAGACTGAGTGGTACAGGAGAGGGGATGGCCTGCGGGGGTACACATAGCCAAACTTTCCATGAATTTACCTGCCTGCAGGGAACTTCAGGCCTGGGTAGATACTGGGCACAGAGAAGGCTCACTTCTAACAAGTTAGTAAAATTTGTAAACACCTCAACAATGGCCAACAGATAAAAATTAACATAAAATGATCCCCTACAGCAAAAGAAGGGGCAGAAATAGGTCTGGTTCAAACAGTGTGCATGTTTGTCAACAAATGTTTGATAACCAGTTTAGTTCTGCATACCACTCAATTCCACAGATTTCAGTTCTGGAATTAGGAAAATCAAAGGGATGGGATATAGGTCCTAGGCTTCCCATATGAAACATTGGCTCTTACAAAATGCAGACGCTTTACAAGAGTTATAGGTCACCTGCTGGAAAGATTTTTCAGCAACCTAAGCCAGTCATAAAGGAGCTCTGGTAGCATAGTGGTTATAAGTCAGGCTGCCAACCTCAGGGTCAGCAGTTCGAAACTACCAGCTGCTCCCCGGGAGAAAGATGAGGTGTTCTGCTCCCATAAAGATTTATAGCCTCGGAAACCCTGTGCAGGGTCGCTATGAGTCGGAACTGACTCCACGGCACTCAACAACAAACCACTCTTAATTTAAAAATACCTAGACACTCTGGAAACACTCAGACAAGCTGACAGGCCATTTGTTTCATCTTTTCGAGGTAGATAAAGGGAGTCTCTTCTTTTAGCAACTCTGCGTAAGTGAGCACCAACGTAAAGGTGGAGTGAGCAACAGAGTCCTGGCTCAATGTCCTAGAAGACAAGGCTTGTTCAGCTTCTGAGCACTTTGACCTCTGCTTCTCACATCCAGCTCTCCAGGTTATTAGAGTACAAAGTCTGTAGTTGCTAACCTTCCACAAGGTATTAGGAAATACAAGAAAAATGGAACATCTGCATACAAGGTCTTATGTATTTCTTGACATTGTTCCAGTAGCATCATCTAGAAATTCTATAGCAGCATTAATATCTAACATGGTGGTGGTAACTACCCTAGTAATACAGCATCTCATAGGCTTCCACAAAGAAAGAACCGTATGCTCACTGGCCCTCTATTATTCAAGCTGTAAAGTGTAATCTCCAGACAATCTAGCCCTTCATTAGTATAAACACATATTGTTGTTTTTAAGTGCCACTGAATCAGTTCCAACTCACAGTGATCCTGCATAGGGTTTCCCAAGTTATAAATCTTTGTGGGAGCAGAAAGCCTCATCTTTTTCTGGTGGAGTGGCTGGTAGGCTTAAACGGCTGACCTTGTGGTTCTCAGTCCAGTGCTTATCACACAGAGCTACCACACTCCCCATATACATAAACAAGTTGCTCTAGGAACTCATTAAATTGTGATTACAATGCACAAAGAAGCAAAAATGACTTATCAAAAATTTGTTGACAAGTATTGCTACTCAAAATTTAGCCATATGCATATGTTGCTGTTGTTAAGTACCGTTGCGTTGGTTCCGACCCATAGCGACCCTGTATAGGGTTTCCAAGGAGCAGATGGTGAGCTTGAACCACTGACCTTGCAGTTCAAATGACCTTGCAGTCTGATGCATTAGCTCATATGCTTATATCAGGTACTAAACTCTGCTTCTCAACAAACCTGCTGCAGACACTACTATCAAACTCATAAAGGCACACAGAACATAGTTAATGCAGTGATGGCCATTTGCTCAATGTTAAATATCCATCATCCTACTGGGGAAAACCCAAAATTTCCACAATGGTGTTCCTCAGTGATCAAACACAAGTGCAGATACCTAGCTGCTTTTCCCGTTCCTCACGTCGCTCCCGGGCCAACCGCTGCCGGTCATCAACTCGTAGCACAGGCGGGGGGTCTGAAAAATGACAGGAAAGCATAAGAGAAGGAGTGGTGTTTTAGTTTTGAAATACAATGACACAGACTGATAAATACTGAACATTACTACATGCCTTACATAAGATGATAGCACAAGTGATACACTTTATTTCTGTAACTTTCTGAACATTTGCAAGTTTATTTTTCTGTCATTTAAAAACATGAAGTCATTAAACCATTGCTGTTGAGTTGGTAAAAAAAAAAAAATTACATTAGCTGTAGCCTTTTGGCTATTTTCATCAAACGCTTGTAAAAGATGATTTGTACTTTAAAAAGTCTGGGTCTTAACATGTAGCATCCTCAGTAAACGCAGTTCTACTAGACAGAAGTTCACCAGTTGGGGGTTGGACACACAAGAGCTTTAGTTCCTGCTCTGTCTCCGTAAATTGTCCCAGTTACTTAACCATTTCTCTAAGTCTCAAGCTACGATGTGGATTTATTTTGTAAAATGAGTTTAAGAATGGAACCTATTTAACATCATTGTAAGAATTAAATATAATAATGCTAATAAAAGTGTTAGTATAAAATCAAAAAACCAAACCCACTGCCACTAAGTAGATTCCAACTTTGACCCTGTAGGACAAAGAAGAACTACTCTTAGGGTTTCCGACACTATATAAATCTTTATAGGAGCACAGAGCCTCATCTTTCTCCCATAGAGAGGTCAGCAGGTTTGAATCACCGACACTGTGGTCAGCAGTCCAACAGCTAACCCACTGCACTACCAGGGGTGCTTTGGGGGTTGTTGGTAGTGTGCTGTGGAGTAGGTCCTGACTCATAGTGACCCTGTATAGTGTTTCTAAGGCCGTAAATCTTTATGGGAGCAGAAAGCCTCATCTTTCTCCTGCGGAACAACTGATAGATTCAAACTTTGACCTGTGGTTAGCAGCCCAATGAGTAACCCATTATGCTATGGAGGCACCTTTAGTACATGATTGTTGTTAAGCACCATCGAGTCGGTTCTGCCTCAGAGTGACCCTGTATAGGATTTCCAAGGAGCAGCTGGTGGGTTTGAACTGCTGACCATTTGGTTCACAGTCCAGTCCTGATCCTACTTTAGTTCCTGCTCTGTCTCCAGTGCCACATCAGGAGTCCTACTACATGATGTTTTTATTGTTAAGTGTCATTGAGTCGATTCCGACTCATAGTGGCCCTATATAATAGGGTTTCCGAGGAGCAGCTTGTGAGCCTGAACCACCAACTCTGTGGTTCAAACTGACTTTGAAGTCCAGCGCAATAACTGTATAGCCTTACCAGGCCTCCTAGTACATGTTGTTGTTAAGTGCCATTGAGTTGGTTCCAACCCATAGAGACACTGTACAGGGTTTCCAAGGAGCAGCTAGTGAGCTTGAATTGCTGACCTTGCAGTTCAAACGACTTTGCAGTCTGATGCATTAACCCATAGGCCACACCAGGAGTCCTAGTACAGCGTTGTTGTTGTTAAGTGCCGTCGAGTCGATTCCGACCCATAGTGACACTGTATAAGGTTTCCAAGGAGTGACTGGTGAGCTTGAACCGCTGACCTTGCGATTCAAACGACTTAGTACATGGTTTGGTTGGTTGGTTGGTTATGTGCCGTGGAGTTGGTGCCGACTAACAGCGACCCTTTTGTACATGGTTGTTGTTGTAAGTCCCTGTAAATAAATCCATTCACTGAACACATACTTACTGAACAGCTACTATATGACAAGCACAGATCTATACATTGAAGAGGCAGCAGTAAAGAAGAAAAACAATCCCCCCCACCCCCCAAAAAAAAAAAAATTTTTTTGCCCTCACAGACTACATTTTACTAGGGAACAGTTTAACAATAGGACAAATAAGTAAAATATAGAACATGAAAAAAAGGAAAAAATAGGTGGTATAAGAAACAGATAAATGCAAAGAACAGATTAATAAGGGTGACTGTGGACTGTTAGGAAGAGGGTGTTTAACCGTGTAGATATTCCAGGATGGGAGGAAGCATGTGCAAAGGTCCGGAGGTCAGTGATGACCTACTATGTTCAATAAGCCCTGGGAGACTCAAGTGGCAGGAGCAGAGTGAGATCTGTAAGTGATGAGGACAGACACAGAAGGGCCTGGGCCTAGAGTAAGTTGTTCATGCTGAGAATTTTGGATTTTCCTCCAAAAGAATCCAGAGGTTGCTGGAGCATTTCCATAAGAGAATTATGTTAAGAGGCTCACTATATACAAGCAAAGTAATAATGATGGTTATGGATTAAATTGTGTCCCCCTGTAAGATCAGTACTGGACAATGAACTGCAAGGTCAGTAGTTCAAACCCACCAGCTACTCCTCGGAAACCCTATATACAGTTACTATGTGAGTCAGAACTGACTCAATGGCAATTAACAACAACAACACCTGTGGCAGGAGCCCAGGTGGTGCTGTAGGATAAATACTGGTCTGCTAACAAGGTCAGATTTCTGCTCTTGTAAAGATTGACAGCGTTGGAAACTCTCTATACAGGGTTGCTAGCAGTGTGAACACACTCCATGGTAGTGAGGTTCAGGTTTTAGAGTTTTGATGCATTTAGTGATTCCATTTGGGAATGGGTTGTCTTTGTGATGCTAATGAGATAGGATTAATGTAGGTGGTGTCTATATACCACCTACATTATAAAAAAGGGGCTGATTATGGAAACAGAAGAGGAGGAAGATATTCAAGTCACATGAAGATCACCCAAGAGTCTAGAAGAGACAAGCAGCATTCCCCAGAGCGGACACAGAGAGAGAGAGAGAGAGTCCCCTGGAGCTAGAGCCCTGAATTTGACTAGTAGACTCGGAAATTGTGAAAAAATAAGTTTGTTTGTTAAAGCCATCCACTTGGGGTATTTATGATTTATCAGCACTAGGTAACTCAGACAATGATGATGACGATAATTACAGTTCAAATAAGATTTATTTTCCCTCTCCTAACCTGATGTCCTGCTGTGCATAAGGTTGCTATGAGTCGGTACCAAGTCGACGGCACCTAACAACAACAACGTGATGTCAGATTTTTCACATGTGGTGCTGTAGGATAAAGCACTGATGGCAAGCCCAGTTTGAACTCACCAGCTGCTCCTCAGAAACCCCATGCAGGGTGGGTCTCTATGCATCTGAACTCAACAACATGTTCAAACTAGAAACCTACTGTAATAGTATTTTAGAAACAAAGGTAGTAGTGCTTGTATCCCAAATGCCATGGAGTTTGTACATTTACGTGAAATAAAAACTGTACAAATGCGCACTGTTATTGTTGCGTGCTGTTGAGTCAGTTCAACCTTGTATAGGGTTTCTGAGAAGTGACTGGTGGGTGTGAACCGACGACCTCATGGTTAGCAGTCTAGTGCTCATCCTACAGCATCACCCCAGGAGCCTGTATAAATCTGACAGTGAGGCTCATGATCAAAATCTACGTTAGTTGCAATTCATAGCAACCCTATGTACAACAGAATGAAATGCCGCCCAGTCTTAGGGCATCCTCACAATCACTGCTAGGCTTGAGCCCACTGTTACGTCCACTGTGTCACTCCGTCTTACAAATGCAGTGACAATCCTTCCTTTTCACTAACTCTCTTGTTTGCCTAGCATGATGTCCTTCTCCAGGGATCAGTCCCTCATGACAATATGCCCAAAGTACATGAGACGAAGTCGTGCCATCATCGCTTCTATGGAGCATTCTGGTTTGCACTTTCTCCATGATAGATCTGTTAAGTTTTTCTGGCAGTTCCTGGTATATTCAATATTCTTGGACAACACCATAATTTAAATGCATCAATCTTTGGTTTTTCTTTTTCACTGTCCAGCTTTCTCACACACATGAAATGACTGACTATACCATGGCTTGGGTCAAGCTTAATGGAGTCATCAAAATGACATTTTTGTTTTTAAAGATTTTAATGTGAGCATGACTAGGTGATGATATTTTATATGTTTTATTTGCTCTGAAGTATGATCAAAGGTGACTGTACAATATACAATAGAGAAAGGTCAGCAAAAACTGACAAGGCAAAGGAACACTGGGAAGAGCACAAGAGTTAGAGGTGACAGAGGCAAATCGTATGGTATAAAGGACCCTGCAATAACAGTAATAAAAATAATGTGTAAATGAGTGGGAATATAGATGACATCCAAGCAGCACACGTGTAAGAAGGTGAATATAGAATGGTTTCACAGGATAGCTCTGCATGTGTATTTACGTATGCTGAAAATATGTCCATGAATATAGTAGAGCATACAAGGGGCAAGTTATGATAACTTCTTAATCATAACCAAACACCCTGAGGGAATGAGTCACTCAGCCAGGGGCTTAGAACCACAGTCTCAGAGGCATCAAAGTCAAATGGCACAAGAGAATCCACAAAGATCATGTTCTACATCCTACTTTGGTGAGTAGCAATTGGGGTCTTTAGAGCTTGTGAGTGGACATTTAAGGTGTTACTGTTGGTGTCTCTTGATCTACAGCAAAAAAGAGTGAAGATAATCCAAGACACAAGGAAATAATGAGCTCAAAGGGTTAATGGACAATGTGACCCTCAGCCTCCACTACCCTGAGACCAGAAGGACCGCTACATAGGGCCCAGCTACCACTACTGACCTCTCTGAATGGTATCATATTAGAAAGTCCTGAATAAAGTGGGAGTAAAAATGTGGAACAAAACTCAAAATCATAAAAAAGACCAAGCTCATTGGCTGGACAGACTGGAGGACTTTCTGAAGCTACAGTGATCTTGAAGTCACCCTCCAAGCCTGGATCTGAACTCACCTCCTTAGCTGAACTTTCGGTCAAATCATGTTGTTGTTGTTGTTGTTGTTAGGAGCCATCAAGTTGGTACTGACTCATAGCGACCCTATGCAAACCACAGACAGGTCTATAATACAATGAGGACTCCTGGTGCGGTGCTGGCGGATCAGCACTGGGCTGTGAACCACAAGGCTGATAGTTCAAACTCACCAGTTGCTCCTTGAAAACCCTATATGGGGCCGAAATGAGTCGG